TGACTAGGTGGGATTGATGTGTAGGTGTTGTTATTGTATATGTGCTGCTATACCTCAATCCCACGATCTATTTGCTACTTTTCTTCTCTCCCTGGCTTCTCCTCTATTCTTATGTCCTTCATGTTTTATTGACCATCATTTTGACTGTCGTTGTTTGCAGTCCTCGGTGTTGCATTCACAACCAAAGTCAACTGTTGGTACACCTGCATATATTGCTCCCGAAGTGTTATTGAAGAAAGAATATGATGGGAAGGTAAATCTTTTTCCATTTAATTTTTCAGAGCCAATGGTTGCTTGTGTTACAGTTTGGTCAAGTGGTGTGGTTGGCAGATGAAGTGCTGCTAAGCCCGTCTTCCTGAAAGCAATTATTAATTGTCTATTTTGCCTACTCTCCTTGATGAAGATCATAAATAGGTTTTATGTCTGATTACTGCTATGAAAGGTTTGATAAATTAGGAATGACAATGGGGTGACCAATCTCGTCCTCATCCCCTGCATTGATGTCTGTAACCAGTGCTCCAGTTTCAATTCTGGTTCCCTTTTCTCTATGTTGAGTTTGGAAGACATTAATTGTGCGTCCCATCAGGAGAGTGTGGCACAGCAATGGCCCCGAAGCTGGATTGTTTTAATGATTTTCTGTCCCTGCAACAGTTGTGAGACCTTACCGGCAGATTGTTTTGGTGGACAAACAACGTTGTGTGTAAATTTATAAGTACCTTGCAGTTGAAAAAAGCTACTTTGAAAACCCTATTTTATATATGCTCTAATGCATAGTGTCAAAAAAGAAAAAAGGCTTGAGTTGGTCTATGCAGAATGAAAATAGCTTTTACACAAGGTTGTTGTGCTGAGAAAGAATCATGATAGAACATTTTGAGATGTGGATCGTATGTGTGTTACAATGCTAGGAATTTGGTTTAGGAAACTTGGTGGTGTGTGAGGACTTTTCAACTTATGCAGGACTTTCTATATTATTCCATTAGAAAGGCTGCAAAACTCTGTTCCTTGACATTTGTCAAATGTCAATGCACCTTCTACAATTGGAATATACCCACTTCTACTTTAGTTCTAGATCATGTACGTTTAAACTAATGGATAATGTTACCATTATTAAATTTATCCTATGTGATTTAAGGAAAAGAAAAGAAAAGAAGATTATGTAGCAGCTTAGAATTATATTTTAAATGCTTATTATATGTCTACTTTTTCACTGCTCAAAATCTTTTGACTTTAAGCATGCATTAGCAATACAAGTGTTCTTGATACCGTTTGGCATAAAACGAGATTTAGTTAGTCATTGCTGAATTAGATTGTCTGCAAATTTAAAAAGTACTCCATTTTTGCAGTGAATGCATTAAGTTCGAAGTCTTTGTAAATATAGGTGGAAAATAGCTAGTTTGTTGTTACAGTTCAGGTCAACCAATTATACCCTTATTTACTTACGTCAACCTTATAACTTTATTTAATGTTCCTCTTTTACCAGAGATGTACCGGTCATTCTTTCAAAATATACTCTCACCATGATGTACGAAGTAAAGTGTTTATTTTCATTTCTGAACAGTGCCTTAGCCATTTTGCTTGTATTTGTAAATACTTAACAATGTTTTCTTAAAATATTTTTCCAAGCATTATCTGAAGGTACCAGAAAACTTTCCATGTTGTTATGGTTTTCACTGCTTAACCTTCCATTTGTAAATTATCTTATTAGCTTCTTTGTGCCTGATGTTCTCTTAGATGTTTTCTTCATTATCTCAAAATATTGCAGATTGCAGATGTCTGGTCTTGCGGGGTGACTTTGTATGTCATGCTAGTAGGAGCATACCCTTTTGAAGACCCGGAGGAGCCTAAAAATTTTCGCAAGACAATACAGGTAACTTCTTATGCTCTATTGTTACTGCAAAATCTTCTTTGCTTGTCTTAATGACTCATAGCATTTTCTGTTTCACAGCGAATCTTGAATGTACAGTATTCAATTCCAGATTATGTACATATCTCTCCAGAATGTCGTCATCTAATCTCAAGGATTTTTGTTGCTGATCCTGCAAAGGTAATCTTATCCACAAATAATTCCGGTGCCCTTCATCCTGATTTTCTTCCCTCATCTTCTGTCTCAAAACATAATTTGAGGTCTTTCTAGTTACTGTCGACTGTGGTGTTGTAACATTTCTGTGCATGATTCATCATTGTTTGGACTTTAATGCTCTCTCTATCAGGAAAATCTTGTACTCAGGTCCCTGTATTGTCCTCTGCTGTTTCTTCATTTTGTTAAATTATCTTTCCTTTTGCCCAACCCCTTTATTTCGATTCTCTTATGTGTGGGTCCTTTCTTTTGCTTGCTAAGTTGCCTGGTGAAGGAAATAGTATGCTTGTGCTGTTTTGATATTTATATTTTATCTTTGTTTCCAATTAGTATATATTTAGTTTTGATTTTGTGATGCTACCATTTTGCACTGCAACAGAGGATAACGATCCCCGAGATCAAGAACCATGAGTGGTTCTTGAGGAACCTTCCTGCAGATCTCACGGATGATAATATGACAAACAATCAGTTTGAGGAGCCAGAACAACGTATGCAGAGCATTGACGAAATCATGCAGATAATAACTGAGGCCACCATTCCTGCTGCTGGGACCAACAGCCTTAATCATTACCTTACTGGTAGCTTGGACATTGATGATGAGATGGAAGAAGACTTGGAGAGTGACCCTGACCTTGATATTGATAGCAGCGGAGAGATTGTCTATGCAATGTAAATGATTTGTGCATTACTAAGTTTATGGATCAAACGGAAGCCGAGTGTTGTAGGTCTTAATTATCTGGTCTACCTTTTGGTTTTCATTAGTTGTTTATCAAATGCAGTTCACAGCAATTCAGGCTTCCTCTCTTTGTTATCTCTCAATGGTTGTGTTGCTGTTGTTGTATTACTTGATTTCCCTTTTAAACTGTGTACTTGTAAGCTGCCATGTAACATTACTTTTTTTTTCTTCCAAAGTAGTATGTATGGTTGTGTTACTATTACTAAGGTAGTAGTTTCAGTGGTATTAACTGAATCTTGCATGTTTCTGGCACTCTTCTGCTAAATGTTTTTGCAATTTATTTTACATTATTCGGTAGGGTCCAGTGCTCATTTGCTGTTAAAGCTAACTCTTTTTCTTGTCCTGAAATTGAGCAGATTCTTAACTGCATAAAGGGAATTATAGGATATTAGTGTGGAGTTGAAAATCTAACTATAGGTCAAGGGAGTATTTATGCATCTTTCCTAGATTTACTGCACTTCTAATATCACTATACGAGAAAATAATATATTTTTATTAATTAAAACATAAAATAATAAACATAAGAAAATAATGAAGTTTTAAAATCAGTTGTAACCTTTTAACAATGACGATACTTCAATTTTCTTGTGGCAAAAAAAGGAAAAAAGAAAAAAAAAAAAAAAGGCCCTTACTGGAAAAGTAAATATTAACTGCATCTTGAGAAATTGAAGTAAAAACTTTGAAAGGACATTTACAATATTCCTAATGCCATCATACAAGAAAATAATTTTACTTAAATAATAAAGTCAAACAATGAATACAAGAAATAATGATATTTTTAGTGATTAATTGTAATTACAACGTAATACAATATGGAATGAATTTACAAAGGGAAAATATTTTATATTGAAATTTCATGCTTTTACAATCATATGGATATAGATAAATTTTATTTGGAGTTTATTCTCCTACGTCTTAGGTTTTTGAGATGCTAAGTTGCTATTTTTTTATATTTAATTTCTTTTTCAATTGATAATATAGTCAACTTATTTAATTCAAAATTGATCTTTAAGTAAAATTTTGTTATTAAAAAACTTCTTCCACTGAGACAGTTGTTAACATTGTTCTATAATTAATATAGACATTTGAAAAATATTGAAGTCTTCATATAATTGAGTATATAAAATAGATTAATTTACTATTTCACTTACACAATTTGTCCTAACACTTTTAATTCTAATATGGTGTGTGGAGATGTAATTAGCTTGAAACGAGTCTATTGAGACCTTGAAAGAAGAAAATTTACAAAGCTTTAACTTAAAAAAAAATTTAAATTCAATTAAATTTCAATGAGTAAGACGAAAGAAGCAAGAAGTTGTAAGAATTATGTGATTAATGGCTCTCGAAGGAAGATAACTCCACCAGCGCTTTATAATTTTTTTTTTTCTTTTTTGGTTGGAGTGTTCTAGTAAATTAATATAGAAGGACCTGTTCTAGTAAATTAATATAGAAGGATCTGAATTTCCTCTCAAATTTATTTTTCCGTGCATAAAAAATGAATATCGAAGTTTTGCTTACTAAAAATATAGAAAGATCAAGTCCCCTTTTTCTTTTTCTTTTTTTTTCTTTTCAAATTCAGAGTTAATTTTCCAAAAGAAAGTGAGCTTAGTTTCCTAATAAATATAGAAATGGGACAATGAAAAGTTTTCCTTTAATAAAAGAAGAAGACTTGTACGTGAAGTACAAGAAAGAAAATACGTGAAATTCGATACTTTCCGCTACTATCCTAATCCTCCTAGTCCTAGGAAACATTGCACCTCTATAAATATTGTATCCACCGGCTTACAATTTTGCAAACTATAGTTTCTTTATCAATTTGCTCTCGTCTTTCACCGAGGCGAAAGAAACTGTTGGTCCCTTTAACTCCATATACAGTTTCGGTGATCGCGACTCTTCATCATCATCCGCCGCCGATCATATTGCTGCAACCCTCAGTTTGCCTTTTCCCCAATCATACACCCAATGAGGCACCGAGTTCTTCGAGTCTGGACTGAGTTTTGCGACGCCCGGAGCAACCATCATGAAGCCCCTTTTCTTCCTCAAGAATGGCATCCCAGCACCTCCAGAGTCACAAGACCTATCTCAGATTTCTACCTTCATGAGGTGGTTCCATCAAGGCTGCTTCTCTTTTCATGACTGCGGCAGAAATAACAAGGTTCTTCGGTTCTTCCGAAGGCGCTCATTTTTATGGATCAACCCGGCATCAACGACTACAAGCATGCCTTCTTACATGGAAAATCTATTTCAGAAGCGTCCCTTCTCGTCCCTGAAGTGGTGGAGACTATTAAGAATTCAGTAGAAAGACTCATCAACGAAGCCGGAGCCAAAACTCTCATAGTTTCTGGAATTCTACCCGTGGGCTGCTTTCCTGGTTTTAGGACTCTGTTTCCCGAGGGAGATTCAATTGGAAAAAACAGATGCCACAGAGGACTTAATATGTTTTCAAAGCTTCAAAATGATCATCTATGGCAAGCAATTCTGGAGCTGCGTTTGAAGTACCCTGATGTTCACATCATATATGTAGATTACTACAAAGCATTCATGGCGGTCCTTAAAAACCATGTGTTCCTGGGATTCAAGATGAAGAATTTGATGAAGGCATGTTGTGGCAGTGGAAACAGTCCACTCAACTTTGATACGCAGAAGAAGTGCGGAGACGAAGGAGTTGTTGTATGTTCTGATAGGGCTTCGTATTTATACTGGGATGGATTTCAATTGACACCTGAGGCTTTGGAGAACCTGATGGATACGCTCTTCAGCAAAAAAGGATTTGTATTCCCAGAATTGAAGGCTGGAGAAGAAACAGCAGCAGCAGTAACAAGGCGTCATTCCAGGATTCTTGCACGAGTTGGAGACATATCTTCTGTTATTAGGCATTTACTCTTCGTCTAAGATAGTTTTCTGTATTCAATTCATTAGCATTGGATTTTTTTCTGTAATATGTTTAAATCGAAGGGCAGGTTCTCATTGTTTCATATGTACAGGGGAATGCCCCTCTTAGTTTCTGTAACAACTAGCAATTCTTTTTACGCATACTCAATAAAAGTATCACAATTTCATTCAAATAAGCAATTAAACATAGAATTGAAGAAACAACCATGTATTAGTGAATTATAATCAAGGTCAAGCTAATATCAAACAACAATATTCATGGCTAAATCACAACCCCAGAACAATGGGTGTTTAGCTACTCATGATGTAATCAAACAATTGCAAAAGTGTTTAATCAATAAGAAATACTAGAAAAAGATGAAGAAAACTGAGAATTCTCCGCTTTCTCTCGATCCCGTGTGTGTTTTCTCTCCAAAGTGGCGTCTCCCCCTTCAAAAATAGGTTTAGTCTTGCTTTTATATGTGTTGGGTAGGTCTAAGGCCGAAATAACCTTGTCCCGGGTGAATTTGGAGAAAATTCACGTCACTGGCGCCCTCCACGGCACTCCAATATTTTTAGCTACTATTTTTGGCGCAACAGGTAGAGCTGGGTGCCACCTGTGGCGCTCAAATTCGCAAGTTTCCCGGTTTCGTTCGTTTTGGCTCAAATCTTGTGTGTTTCGCCCCCAATTGCTCCCGAATCATTCCTACACATAAAAACACTTCAAATTAATATAAATCATAGCATTTAACATCCCAAATTCACGAAACAAAAGTAAAATATGAGGCGATATACATAAAAATATATATGCTTTAAGCTAAATATCAACACCCCACACTTAGACTCTTGCTCGTCCTCGAGCAATGGGACAATTCACTACCCTCCAACTACGTACAATTATCAATTATAGAGGAGCACTTTAACTTTTAACCACATACTATACCCTGGACTATGATCAATACCGGCACACAAGCATGAACACATAAAAATTCACGTTCTTCCCATTTAAGCATGCCCAAGTATAACCCTTCAATTCAATCAATTCCAACAACCTATTTGTCACCACCCAACCTCAAAAGCCGACTTGTAACCACTAAGCACCCTCAATTCATGCACTTACCCAACAAGAAAATTTACAACATTACTAATCATTCATGAGATCATATGCCCTCTACCAACTTCTTATTTTCCAAGAGACAAAGGAATTGTGAAACTCCCAAGATCCTTCAACTTAGGAGGAAGTTTACTCTGAACTCTGGCACTGCACTCTTCAGTAAGTGCAACTGTTTCGAACTCTGCATGTCTTCATTTGTTTGCCACAACATCTCTGAGATACCTTGCATACTTAGGCACTCCCTGCAAAATTTCCACCAAAGGCAAATTCACACTCACTTGGCTCAAAATATCTAGGAATTTCTTGTACTTAGCATCATCTTTTTGCTTCTGCAGTCTTTTGGAAACGGAGGTGGTGGACTAGTCTCAATTACTGACTCGGGTCCTTTATCATCTTTCGCATTCCCCTCAACTGGCTTGGGAACTAATTTTCCTTCAGGATGAGCTGTATTCTTCTTTTTCTTTGGAACTTCTTCTAATGCTCTTTCATTTCTCAAGGTAACCGCATTGACTTGAGCTTTAGGATTGAGCTAAGTATCACTAGGAAGAGCCCCTACTAGTCTGGTATTTTGGGCTCTAGCAAGTTGGCCCACGTGGTGCTCCAAATTTCTCAGTGTTGCGGCTTGAGCCTGCTGATCAACCATTATTTTCTGATTGAAAGTTTGTTAATCTGCTATTAATTTTTGATTGAAAGTTTGTTGATCTGCTATTAATTTCTAATTGAGGGCTTGCTGGTCGGACATCAATTTCTTCATCATCTCCTCAAGGCTAGCTTGTTGTTTAGCCTGAGGTGGTCTGGATTGTTGTTGAGGTGCTTGAGGACTGTATTGATTCTGATTGCCTTGATTTTCACCCCAAGAGAAGTTTGGGTGATTCCTCCAGTTAGGATTATAGGTGTCCCCATACTAATTTGTTTGGCCTTGATTTCCATTACCCACAAAATATACAGACTCTGGATTTGCTGGGCATAGATTGCTCATGTGACCCTCTCCACACTTCACAAAATATTTGAACTTGTTGCACTGGCTGGGTTTGTTGCTTGTTAATGATCATGGTCATTTGATTGGCTTGGTTGGTCAGCGTAGAGACCTATGCTCACAATGCTGAGACAACATCTAATTCAAGAACCCATGGTGATTTTTGTACCATGTTCCTACCCATCTCTCCTTGCCAATCCGGATTACTTTTGGAGAATTTGTTCAATAATCCATAAATTTCATCAAAGCTTTTCTCCAATACTTGACCTCCAACTTCAACATCTACTATAATTTTTGTTTGGGGATGGAGCCCTTCTATGAAAGTGTGAACTAACACTTCATTCATCTGATTGTGATGAGGATAGTCTCTGAGTAGCCCGTTGAACCTTTCCCAAGCTGAGTATAAAGATTCTCCTGCTTTCTGTTTGAAGGCAACTATCTCACTTCTGATCTTTGCAGTTTTGCCTGAAAGGAAGAACCTTGTCAGAAATTTTCTTGCCAAATCATTCCAAGATGTAATGGAATTAGCTGGTTCTGCCTTTAGCCATCGCTTAGCTTCGCCCAACAGAGAGAATGGAAAAAGTGTGAGCCTCACATAATCTGGAGTGACCCCATTAGTGATATAAGTATCACTAATCTCCAAGAAGCTCAGAATATACTGTTGTGGATCCTCGTGTGGAAGACCCATAAACTGCCCATTTGCATGAAGTAGCTGGATCATGCTCTGTTTCAACTCAAAGTGCCTAGTGATTCTGGGCTTCACTATGCTGGAGGTAACATTAGCAATACTGAGCATTGCTACTTCCTGAACAGCCATATGTTTCTCCTCTGCCATGTTCACAGGAAATTGAATGAGTGCTTGAATATTGTTTGTATCCCTTGCTTCCCTCAACCTCCTATGAAATGTTTTCTCAGGTTCGGGGTCAAAGCCATTGAGTCTGTCCTGGCTTCTGACCCTACGCATCCAATCAAAGTTTCTGAGATTAGAGAAACAATCAAGTAACGTTATACTAGACGAAATAAACAATTTAAGCAAAAACTAGAAAGTAGTTTATATTCAAGTCCCCGGCAATGGCGCCAAAAACTTGTTGGTCCCAAACGCACATGCAAGTATACGTGGTCGACAAGTAATATAATGATAAGTTTAGTGTCGAACCCACAGAGACTTATATAAACTACTCACTAAATCACTAAAATTATTATTCAATCCATCTAAAATCAAAGTCCAATAATATGATTATATTATACTACGATTCTAAATAATAACTAAATTATCAAGTAATGAGTTGATTGTTGTGTATTCAGTAGAGACAAATATTCCAGGGTTGTGATCGATTCATCATTCGTATTGTGTTCTAATTAACTCTCCCTTTCATATAATTCATTCATGGTTGCTAATTAATCGATAATTGCTCTCATGGCCTTCTCCCGAAGTACTACTCGCCTATTCAAAATAGATTAACGCCTATATTCCTATGAAATCAATCTATTAAGAACACATTAAGATTACCATATTTAATTAAGCACGGTGACTAGGTATATTCCTATCTTAACCACAAATCCGCTCCCCCTAAGGGTTAAGATCATGCTCTCTTCAATTCTTCTCTAATCTAAACATGGCTTTCCCAAGCATAACATAGATAGTAAATAGAACCTAACTGCTGGACAGACAATTAAGCAATTAAATACATAATTGAAGAAACAATCATATATTAGTGAATTATAATCAAGGTCAAGCTAATATCAAACAACAATTTTCATGGCTAAATCACAACCCCAGAACAATGGGTGTTTAGCCACTCATGATGTAATCAAACAATTGCATAAGTGTTTAATCAATTGGAAATACTAGAAAAAGATGAAGAAAACTGAGAATTCTCCGCTTCCTCACGATCCCGTGTGTGTTTTCTCTCCAAAGTGGCGTTTCTCCCTTCAAAAATAGGTTTAGTATTGCTTTTATATGTGTTAGGTAGGTCTAAGGCCGAAATAACCTTGTCTCGGGCAAATTTGGAGAAAATTCACGTCACTGGCGCCCTTTCTAGCGCCAGGCGCCCTCCACGACACCCTCCACTATTTTTGGCGCAACAGGTAGGGCTGGGTGCCATTTGTGGCGCTTAAATTCGCAAGTTTCCCGGTTTGGTTCGTTTTGGCTCAAATCTTGCGCGTTTCGCCCCCAATTGCTCCCGAATCATTCCTACACATAAAAACACTTCAAATTAATATAATCATAGCATTTAACATCCCAAATTCACGAAACAAAAGTAAAATATGGGGCGATATACATAGAAATATATATGCTATAAACTAAACATCAGTAACTAATTTAAATATATATTTATAAAGATCAAAAGTTTTGCTCCAGAAAAAATATATCCCATTTATTTCCTCAAACTCAGTTTGTAAAAAAGGAAAAGTGAATTCCGTTTTCTTAAAAAGTTATGGAAATAGTAAATTCGGAGTGTGGAGTGCCCCTTCGTTTAAGAAACTTGGGATAAAAGAAAGAAAAAGGAAAAAAGTCTTTGGTCAATAATTTAATAAATCTTAAATGAAAACTAATTCTAATCAATTTAGGAAACACAAATAACTTTGCTTAAACACCAAGCTCACAAACTCTATAAATACAGTATGTACAATAATTCTAATGGAGGAATGTTTACAACTGGAGAAAAAACTTTATTGTAATCAATTCCCTCCTTTTGAGCATATCCTTTGGCCACCAATCTTGCTTTGTAACGAACATATTCTTGGTTAGGAAATCCTTCTTTCTTTGCAAATATCCACTTGCACCCAATTACTTTCTTTTCCTTCGGGAGATTGGCCAATCTCCATGTATGATTCTGATGAAGGGATTACATTTCATCATTCATGGCAATCCTCCACTTATCTTCTTTTGAACTTTGGGCAACATCTTTATAAGTGGTAGGAACATCA